GGCCATGGCGTCCCGTTGGCCGTATTGCTTCGCAACAGAAGATAGTTTCTTTGAAGTGAGGTACGGAACTGGTCGGTAGCGAGCGTTTACGCAACTTCTTAGATTACAAACGGTAGATTATCAAAAAGGCTTAGGTGCATTTATCCGATAATTATCAAGAACATCTCGGTTACAGGTCAGTATGTTCGCCATTGACACCACATGGGTTGCGCCAGTCTGGGGAGGCGAACCGTGTGACCATGATTCAGATTTCTCTTCTTCTTTCGCATCAAAGGAATCTCTTGACAAAAATGATGGCTAATGAAGATAGCTCTGGCCTTGACTAAACTATACACATAAGCACTACTGGATTCGACAGGAGGAAAGCTGCCTGCAGGAACAAAAGCAGGCCTTCGTCAAGAAGGATTTTTAGTGTTTCTGATGAGGTTGCAAACTGATTCTCTACAGAAAGCTGCTGCACACCTGCACCGCCAACGCCGGAATTCTGATGTAAGACAGTTGAGAAGCTTCCCAGAAAAAGGGTACGTTTCCTGTATGCTGACGGTGATAACCTTGCTGATTGAATGGTTAATTCAAGAAAGGAAGGTGCTATCAAAAATCTTGGACAAAGTGTCGCAGGAATTTCTGGACAACCCGATTGAACAACGGAGTTTTAGTGAAAAATTTCCAGTTCAAGAACCGCTGCGGATAGCGGCCCAACCATGACGTCAGAAAGAAACACGACAAGGCTTTTAACAACCTAGCAGCGAATTTCAAGAAAAGTCATGCCTAAGTAGAAAATACATCATTGATCGATTCCTTCTAGGAAGGTATAGCGTTGGGGTCAATTTTCATCGACAGGACCTCTCACATCGCAGGCCTAAAATTCAAAGTGTAAAGAATGTGGTAGCAAAACCTACCGCCTTGTAGAGCAGAAAGTGTTTTTTCGATTGGTGTATGATTAGATGTTGAAACAAGGGTTTTAGCAGAAAATTTTGTATGAAAAAAAGTGACACTATATGGGACAAATAATAAAATTACAGGTATTGAACTGACCAAGTTTCTCTATCTCTTCGTAAACGTTCCACAAAGCAATCTTTTACCTAGTCCCTCGTGCGGGGATGACTTACCGTTATCTAGGCCAACCAGGCCTTTTGTATCACTCCAGCATCAAGTAAATTGATTTGGAACATTATACGCTTCTAAGTTCTTTGTGTTACGTAGGCAACTAGGCTCACAAAACAGGAATGCAGAGCGATATCAAATGAAGCTCATTCCTCACGGGTAAGACGTTGGTAGGTCGCAACAGGCGAGTTCTTCGCCGTAAAAGCTCCTCGCCTCAATTACTTTGAGGAAGAATTTACGATAAAGATTAGCTCATTGAAATAAGGGTAGAGGTGGATGAAGAAGAAACCATTTGAAACGGCCCGAAACCCGAGAAATGGGACCCCTTCCTTGCCCGTTGATTTGCGCATTGATGCGACTCATCGCTGTGCCCTCTTCAACACTACGCTCTCTCTGCTATCTAATCACTCGCCACGTATAGACCTGCGGCGAGTGATTAGGTGGGCGTACCCCGCCAACCGCGCCAAGAGTGAGCCATGCTAGATCGCCGAGGTCAAATCTTTCGCTGCCAATTGCGTCAGCACCCTCAGGAGGTCCGCGCCTCCCAACTATGCAATTTTCCCTTCACTGACCTTCGTTCTTATGGTGAATTCCTCCTTTAATTCGTTTACACTATTTCCTTTTCCAACATCTAATTTAGCCTGCAACTGCCTTAGAAAATCTTTTGCGAAAAGTCGTCGATTGCCTTAAATGGTCTCCTCAAAATAAGAAAGTCCAGACACATTCATTACACGATCACAACATGTGATTATTCCTCTTCGAAAACCAAGAAGTAACGTGAGAGAACTTCTGGTGCAGGAATAAA